GGAAGACTGTTTAAGAGAACTGTGGAACAACTGAAAACATAACAACATTTACATCATAGGATTTCCAGAGGAAGAAGTTAATGAGCAAGGGTTAAAGAATATATTTGAAGAAATAGTGACAGAAAACTTTCCTAACTTGGTGAAGGAAGAAGGTATACTAGTTTAAGAAGCACAGAGAGCCCCATGTAAGAAGAATTCAAACAGACCTACACCAAGACACATAATAATTAAAATGCCAAAAATTAAAAACAAAGAAAGAATCCTAAAGGCAGCAAGAGATAAGCAACAGGTTACCTACAAAGGAACATAAGGCTATCAGCTGACTTCTTAACAGAAACACTACAGGCCAGAAAGAAATGGCATGAAGTAATCAAGATCATGAAAAACAAGGATCTGAATCCAAAACTACTCTATCCAGCAAGGCTATCATTCAAAATGGAAGGTCAAATAAAGAGCTTACCAGACAAAAAATGGCTAAGGGAATACATTAGCACCAAACCAGCACTGCAAGAAATGTTAAAAAGACTGCTGTAATTAGCAGAAGAAATAGGAAGAAAGATATAACTACATTAAACAAAAATGGCAATAAATAAGTACATATAAGTAATCACCTTAAATGTAAATGGATTGAATCCTCTGATAAAAAGACAGAGTAGCTGACTGGATAAGAAAGCATGACCCTCATATATGTTGTTTACAAGAGACACACCTCACAACAAAAGACTCACGTAGGCTGAAAGTGAAGGGATGGAAAAAAATCTTCCAAGCAAATGGAAAGAAAAAAAAAAGAAGCTGGGGTAGCAATACTTACATCTGATAAAGTAGATTTCAAAATGAAGACCATAACTAGAGACAATGAAGGCCACTACATAATATTGAAAGAATCTATCCAACAGGAAGATATAACCTTGATAAACATATATGCACCCAATATAGGAGCACCAAAATATATTACACATTTTCTAGAGGAATTCAAAGGAAAAATCAACAGCAATACAATCATGACAGGGGACTTCAACACTCCACTGACATTACCGGATAGATCCTCAAGACAAAAAATTAACAAGAAAACAGAGACTCTAAATGATGCACTAGATTAAATGGATTTAATAGATATCTATAAAGAATTACACCCCAAAACTGCAGAATTCACATTCTTCTCAAGTGCACATGGGACATTCTTAAAGATAAACCACATGATAAAACACAAACTAGTTTCTACAAGTTCAAGAAGATTGAAATCATATCAAGCATTTTCTCAGATCACAATGACATGCAACTAGAAATCAATTGCAACAAGAACATGCAAAGACATTTGAAAACATGGAGGCTAAATAGCCTGTTATTGAACAATGAATGGGTGACCAAGATCAAGGAAGAAATAAAAAACTTCCTGGAAACCAATGAAAATGAACACACAGCAACACAAAATCTATGGGATGCAGCAAAAGCAGTTCTGAGAAGGAAGTTCATAGAAGTACAGGCCCACTTCAAGAATCAAGAAACATTTCTTATTGACTATCTAACTTCACAACTTAAAGAACTAGAAAGAAAACAAACAAACAAACAAACAAACAAACAAACCCAGAGCAAGTAGAAGGAAAGAAATAGTAAAGATCAGAGCAGAAATAAATGACATAGAGATCAAAAAGAAAGATCAATGAAACACAGAGCTGGTTCTTCAAAAAGATAAACAAGTTTAGTAGATCCTTAGCTAGACTCACCAAGAAACCAAGAGAAAAAACCCAAAATACACAAAATCAGGAATGAAAGAGAAGAAGTAACCACTGACACAACAGAAATACAACGGATCATTAACAAATACTATGAACAATTACATGGCAACAAATTGGACAATCTAAGTAAAATGGACAAATTTCTAGAAACACATAATCTCCCAAATCTTAACCAGGAAGAGATAGAAAACTTGAACAGACCAATAACAACTAAGAAAATTGAAGATGGAATCAAGACTCTTCCAGCAATTGAAAACCCAGACCCGGACAGCTTCACGGGGGAGTTTTACCGAACATTCAAAGAAGAACTAACACACATTCTCCTCAAACTATTTCAGAAAATTCAAGAAGAAGGAAGACTTCCAAACTCGTGTTATGAGGCCAGCATAATCCTAATTCTAAATCCAGATAAAGACACTACAAAGAAAGAAAACTACAGGCCAATATCTCTGATGAACATAGATGCCAAAATCCTGAACAAAATACTAGCAAATCGGATCCAGCAATACATCAAAGAAATTATTCACCATGACCAAGTGGGATTCATCCCACGGATGCAAGGCTGGTGCAATATTCACAAATCAATAAATGTGATACACCATATAAACAAAATGAAAGATAAAAACCACATGATCATATCAATAGATGCCAAAAAAGCATTCGACAAAATCCAGCACCCATTTCTGATAAAAACGCTCAGCAATGTGGGAATAAAGGAATCATATATCTACATTGTAAAGGCCATATATGAAAGACCTACAGCCAACATCATACTCAATGGGCAAAAACTAAAAGCATTTTCCTTAAGAACGGGAACAAGACAGGGATGCCCATTTTCACCACTTTTATTTAACATAGCATGGAAGTCTGAGCTACAGCAATCAGACATGAAGAAAAAATAAAAGGGATTCTAATTGGAAAGGAGGAAGTCAAACTGTCATTATTCACAGATGACATGATATTGTATATAGAAACCCTAAAGACTCCATCAAAAATCTGCTAGATTTAATAAACAAATTTGGCAAGGTAGCAGGATACAAAATTAACGTGAAGAAATCGATGACATTTTAGACACCAATGATGAACTCACAGAAAGAGAAACTTAAACAATCCCATTTTCCATTGCAACAAAAAAAATTAAGATACCTAGGAATAAACCTAACCAAAGGAGTAAAGGACTTATTTGCAGAAAACTACAGGACATTGAAAAAAAGAAATAGAGAATCATATAACAAAGTGGAAGCACATACCTAGTTCATGGATTGGAAGAATTAACATAATTAAAATGTTCATACTACCCAAAGCAATCTATAGATCAAATGCAATCCCCATTAAAATACCAACAACATATTGCACAGAACTAGAACAAATACTTCAAAAGTTTATATGGAACCAAAAAAGTCCCCGAATGGCCACAACAATCGTGTAACAGAAGGGCAAAGTAGGTAGAATCACAATACTGGATATCAGGTTATACTACAAAGCTACTGTAATCAAAACAGCCTGGCATTGGCACAAGAACAGGGATATAAATCAATGGAACAGAACAGAGAACCCGAAAATTGACCCAAGACATTATGCTCAATTAATATTTGACAAAGATGGCAAAAGCATACAATGAAATAAAGACAGTGTTTTTAATAAATGGTGTTGAGAAAATTGGACAGCTACATGCAAAAAAAATGAGACTAGACCATCAACTTACACCGTACACAAGAATAAGCTCAAAATGGATAAAAGACTTATATGTGGCTCACTGTCTCTAAGGGCACCTTGCTGTCTCCATCAGTAAGGCAGAAAGAGAAGGTCACCTTTCCATCCACCATGACATAAGTCATGTTTCCAACCTTCCTGAGCTCTGAGCTTCGGCTCCTCCTCCCTTCCTCAGGTCACCCCCCACATCAATGTTTCCAACTTGCATTTCAGAATCTGTCCATTTGCTCCTCAAATTCTTTCCATGGTCCTCACATTTTTGGGGCAAATACAGATTCTTCTGTGTGAGCTGAAGCCTGCTCATGGTCGTCCACATGTGACCCTCCTACCTCAGGTCTCCATTCTGATTCTGTCAACCAGAGAAGTGAAGTTACCTCACGAACACACACTCACACATACCCACGAACACTCATAAATACAAACACACACACTCACTCACACTCAGTCACACTTAAACACTCACACCATCTGCTACTGACCATGTCTGTAATTTCCTAGATTTCTATACGACTAGCAAATCCCTTCCCAATCCCAGAGCTAAAGCCCAGACTAGAAGCAACACTGAGATTCCTTCTTCTCATTTCTCTTCTTGGCATGTGATTCTGACTGTTAAGGACTAAGCAAGGATATTGTGGTAAATCCTTGTTGCTGATCATGTAACATGGTTGGAAACACTAGAACTGGAGGTCAATTACTGTTGATATTATATTTTATTTCCATCTATTGATTTCTCTACTTCATATGATCTTCCTAACTCAGTCTGATCTTCACAGTCCATTCCTATGTATTCTTTTTGCCTTATAGACATAATCCCACCTTCTTGCAAGGGGGGAAGCAACCCATGATCAACCACCACCTCACTCATTCTTATGGTTGTTGAGAGAGTCTCTCTCTGTCTATAGGGCTCTCTAGAATGTTCTTTTATCTCAAGAATAGTCTCACTCCCACCTCTAAGGATTCCACATCTTCCATCAGCCACAGTTTACTCATGGTCTCAATTGTTCTCATATTTTCTCTAGTTTCTCCTTTGTAAGAAACATAATGGCAACATTAGCCTTAGAATGCCCATACTCTGCTAAGAGGAATCTCTCAGAGTACAGAAAATGGGTCTTTTAGATCACAGATGTATTGCTGGTTCTGGCCCAAATACTTGGCATGTAATAGATAATTAGTAAATATTTCTTTTTGGATGAGGAAATACCAAAATTATGTCCTGTTTGTGGGAGGCTGAAAAAATGTGTGGGGAGTTCTACTTGGAGCCATCCAGTCAGGGTCAACTCAGGATGAGAACCTGGGACCTGCCCTTTCTGAGCAGAAGGTCAGGTCTGGTCGAGTGTCCTGGGTCAGAGGAGACCCCAGATCTTGGCCAAGTGTCTCCAGAGGTCCTGGGGTCCTCCTGAGCCCTCCTCATGGAAACACCCAGTCCTCTGAGAAGGCGGGACGAACCCCTTGTGTAGTTCACAGTGGTGGGAACCGGAAGGCGGCAGAAGTTCCTGACTCACCACATCCTGGGTGTCTGACCTTCAGGCCCAGGGTCTCATCCACCTGCAGAGCAGAAGCCCGCAGAGCAGGTGCCATGAGGTCCATCCTCCCTTTGCTTCTCTGCCTCGGTCAGTGTAGATGTGGGGAGGGGGCAGCTGGAGGAGGCAGGGAGGCTACACCCCTGGTTCATGGGAAACAGGTTCAGGCAGCAGTGTGGATGGGGTGCTGATGGGAAGGAAATCAGCCCAGATGTCCAGGTGGAATCTCTGACTGGGTTTCTCTTCCAGGGCTGAGTCTGGACCAGAGGATCCACACGCAGGCAGGTGAGTCCCCCCCCAGGCTCTATGTCCACCTCTTACTTCTCCCCTGGGGCTCAGGACAAAGCACAGAGGCCCAGGGATGAGGTGGTGAAATGTGAGGGTCCTGGGCTGACCTGGGGACTGAGGGGTGAAAAAGTCTTTGTGATGCAGCCTTTGATTTCTTTCCAGGGACTCTCCCTAAACCTACTCTCTGGGCAGAGCCAGGCTCTGTGATCCCCTTGGGGAGTCCTGTGACCCTCTGGTGTCGGGGGGCCCTGGAAGCCCTGGAGTTTCGTCTCTTTAGACAACAACGTGAGCAAAGAAAGACACCGATGAAATGGAAGCACGGGGACAAGGCCCAGGTCTCCATCACACACATGACAGAGCACGATGCAGGGAGATACTCCTGTTACTATGTCACCTTCACTGGCCGGTCACAGTTCAGTAACATCCTGGAGCTGGTGCTGACAGGTGAGGGGACACTCAGGGGTCCCAGCCTCAGGCTCTGCCCTCAGGAAGGGCTCTGCTGTCAGGATTTTTCCCCTCTCATAGCCCAGCCCTGTGATACATGGGGGAGGTGTGAGCCCCATTTGACACACTGCCTTCTCCCCTCCTAGGATCCTACAGCAAACCCAGCCTCTCAGCCCTGCCCAGCCCTGTCGTGACCTCAGGAGGGAGAGTGATTCTCCAGTGTGGCTCATGGCTGGGATTTGACAGGTATATTCTGACTAAGGAAGGAGAACACAGGCTCTCCTGGACCCTGGACTCACAACCACACACCAGAGGACAGTCCCAGGCCCTGTTCCCTGTGGGCCCCGTGACCCCCAGCCACAGGTGGACGTTCAGATGCTATGGCTGTTACAGGAACAGCCCCCAGGTGTGTTCACAGCCCAGTGACCCCCTGGAGCTCCTGGTCTCAGGTGAGTCCCATTATTGTCCCTTCCATGGACTGAATCACTAGACAAGTTGTTGGCATCTTTGCTGGGAGGGGAGCCCCATGTGAGAGGTGGGGTCAGGGGAGCACAGGGGCTCCTGGGAAAGAAACACAATAAGACAGTGAGACCTGGGCCAGGCCAGGAGAAGGGGTTATGGGAGGAGCAGCCCTGTACTCACGTGTGGTCTCTCAGGTGTGTCTGGGAAGCCCTTCCTCCTGGCCCAGCAGGGCCTCATTGTGGCCTCTGGACAGAGCCTGACCCTTCAGTGTGGCTCTGATGTTGGCTATGACAGATTTGCTCTGTCCAAGGAGGGGGGACAGGACATCCCCCAGAGCCTCGTCCTGCAGCCCCAGGTTGGGCTCTCTCAAGTCAAGTTCCACCTGGACACTGTGCACAGCTACCATGGAGGCCGGTACAGATGCTACGGTGGACATAACTTGTCCTCTGAGTGGTCGGCCCCCAGTGACCACCTGGACATCCTGGTGGCAGGTGAGGAGCTGGTGGGTTCAGTCAGGGGACAGACTCTGCACAAGCCCTGCTGGGGAGTCTTGGGTGGTCATGGCCAGAATGAAAGTGTAGGACCTAGGGAGGGGGAGGCACAGAGAGACAGGGGTGTGAGGGGAGAGGGGAGACTCAGAGAGAACAGAGACAGACAGAGATGAGGGTCCACAGAGAGAGGCCTGGTGAATTTCAGGCCAGAAAAAGGTGGGCAGGCAGCCCCTCACCCACCCTCCCTCTCTCTAGGATGGTTCTCTGACAGACCCTCCCTCTCGGTGCAGCCGGGCACCACGGTGACCTCAGGAGAGAATGTGACCCTGCTGTGTCAGTCACAGAATTTGACGGACACTTTCCTTCTGTCCAAGGATGGGGCTGTCTATCCCCCCCTGTGTCTTCCATCAAAGCACCGAGTTCAGCAGTACCAGGCAGAGTTCTCCATGAGTCCTGTGACCTCCGCCCACGGGGGCACCTACAGGTGCTACAGCTCACTCAGCACCGCCCCCTACCTGCTGTCACAGCCCAGTGAGCCCCTGGAGCTACGGGTCTCAGGTGAGGGGCCCCTGGCCCTGTCTTTCTGTGCTGTCGGCTCAGGGTTCTGTGCCCTGAATTAGTTATGAAAGGAGGTGATGGGCTCTAGGGATGGTCACCCAGAGGATCTCCCAACCCTGTCAACACAGCCTTGTACCTGTGTCCTGAAGCTGCCTGGTGGGCAGCAGGAGAAACTTGAGGGGCCAGCGGAGATGTAGAGAAGAGTCTGAGTAGGATGGGGACTCCAAGGTCACCCCAGGGAACTCACCCTCTTTCTGTTTTTGTTTTTATGACTCTCATGCACCCCCCATCCCAATCTCTACCATTGATGAGTCATGGAGAACTCTGCTCAGAGGGAGCATGGACTACCCAGGAATTTCTGAGAGTCTATCAGGGAACCTAATTATCCCAGAAACACAAGAATGGGTTGTGTGTCAGGGGGGCTGGGAGTCAGGCTGAAATGCCAGTCACCACGGGGCTTACAGGGCCCAGAGTCGAGAAGATGACAGGTAAAGTGGTCAAGAAGCTGATAGCCTCATGTGGACTGCAGGGAGCCCCCATATCTCACCACCATCTCCATCCCCAGGAGGCTCTGAGGATCGGTCCCTACACCCCATGGAGTCAGGCAAACAGAGGGGTAAGTGAAGGTCTCTATAGGGAGGTGGTGGGTACATAAGTAACATAAGCTCAGACATGAGGGGGTTCAGGCCCCTCTGGAGAGGCTGACTTGGATGCGCCCTTTCTGTCTGGGACTCTGGATCCCCAAGTGTAGAAGGAGAGATTCATGGCCCAGAGCTTAGATTTCCTTTCAGTTCTGGCTCTGACCTCCTGGGGGAGGGGGCCTCGCAGGGACACCCAGGACGTGGTGTGGGGACTCTCCCCTCTGCAGCAGTGATGGTGACATGCACAGGGAGGGGCAGGCAGGACCAGGGTCTGGGGCATCCAGGTCCTTTCCCTCAGCCCAGGCTCAGCTCAGAGGAGAGAGGGCTGGAGTCAGACCTGGTTCACTTCCAGGCTCTGCTGCTCCTGCAGGGGGTCAGGTGGTCCCTTCTCTTCCCTGAGTGTTTGGTCATGTCTGTCTGTACCTGGATCCCTCCTGCTCACAAGCTGCTGTCACATTAGGTGACATATGGGTCACACAGAGCTCAGGAAGGCAGAGCCCCAGCCCTGCCCACCTTCCCTAGGGCGAGTCAGGGCCCTTCAGGATGGACAAAATCTTAGGTGAGACACAAGTCTACCCCACACCTCTGCAACTTTGATGTCTCTGCTGTGCTGGCGGTGGGGAATAAGGAAGGACCCTCAGTTCAGATAAGACATGGACAAGCCCCTTCAGATGAGGAGCCCAGAGCATAAAACTCAGGTCCTTCAGGGGCAGCATGAGGAGAGCACAGGGAACCCACAGACCCGGGTTCCAGTCCCAGCCCTGCCCTGTCCAGACTGGGTGACCTGGGACACGTGACTGACCTCTCTGAGCCTCAGTGACCTGGGTGGTGGGGCTCAGTCCCTGATGCATGACTGTGTGAGGGAGAGAGATGAATGACAAACCCCACCATGTGCCTCACACATAGTAGTTGCTCATTAAATGACATCATAGTCTGATAAATTTTTATTTATTTTTAATTTTTAAATAATTAATTTATTTTTGTTACAGATGTTTCTCCTTTATACCCCACTGATTCCCCCCTCCTCCTCCCTCCCCACCCTGTCCCCACCTTTGTTGTCCATGTCCATTGTTCATACATACATGTATGTAAGTTCTGTGGTTTATCTCTCCTCCACGACCCCCTCTCCTAGTGATTTTCAGTCCATACTCCACTTCCACATCTTTGGGACTACCCCGTTTCTCAGACTGTTATGTTCATTATATTCCACAAATAAGTGAGATCATGTGATATTTGTCTTTCTCTCCTTGGCTTGTTTTGCTTAGGATAATAGTTTCCAGGTCCCTCCATGTCATCTAAAAAAATAAGAGATCTTTCTTTCTTACAGCTGCATAGTACTCAATTGTGTATATGTACCACAGATTTCTTATCCATTCATCTACTGATGGACATTTGGGCTGTTTCCAAATATTAGCTATTGTAAATAGTGCTGCTATGAACATGGGGGTACATACATTCTTTCTGATTGGTGTTTCAGGCTTCTGAGGGTATATTCCTAGAAGTGGGATCACTGGGTCAAATGGAAGTTCAATTTTTAATTTTTTGAGGTGACACCATATTGTTTTCCATGGTGGCTGCACCAGTCTGCATTCCCACCAGCAGTGTACTAGAGTCCCCTTTTCTCCACACGCTCGCCAACACTTGTTGTTTGATGATGTGTTGATGGCGGCCATTCTGACAGGTGTGAGGTGATACCTCATTGTTGTTTTAACTTGCATCTCTCTGATGATTAGTGATGTTGAGCATTTCTTCATATGTCTCTTAGCCATGTGTATGTTCTATTTGAAGAGGTGTCTATTTAGTTCCTCTTCCCATTTTTTTAATTGGGTTCTTTGTCTTCCTTTTGTGGAGTTGTATGAGCACTCTCTATATATTGGAAATTAACCCCTTATCTGATATATCATTGGCAATTATGCTGTCCTATACAGTGGGTTGCCTTTCCATTTTGATGATTGTATCTTCACTGTGCATAAGCTTTTGAGTTTGATGTAGTCCCATGTGTTCATTTTCTCCTTTGTTTCTGTTGCCTTAGGAGACGTATCAGTGAAAATTCTGCTGCGTACGATGTCTGAGATTTTGTTGCCTACAGTCTCTTCTAGGATTTTTATGGATTCATGAGTCACATTTAAGTCTTTTATCCATTTTGAGTTTATTCTTGTGTAGGGTGTAAGTTGATGGTCTAGTTTCATTTTTTTTGCATGTAGCTGTCCAATTTTCCCAACACCATTTATTAAAGAGCCTGTCTTGACTCCACTGTATGCTCTTGTCACCTTTGTCAAATATTAATTGAGCATTTTACAGAACAGAGAACCTTGGGTCCATTTCCGGGTTCTCTGTTCTGTTTCATTGGTCTATATGCCTGTTCTTGTGCCAGTACCAGGCTGTTTTGATAATAGTCGCTTTGTAGTATAATCTGAAATCTGGTAATGTGATCCCTCCAACTTTGTTCTTTTTTTTTTTCAAGACTGCTGTGGCCATTTGAGGTCTTTTTTGGTTCCATATGAACTTTTGAAGTATTTGTTCTAGTTCTGTGAAGTATATCATTGGTATTTTGATGGGGATTGCATTGAATCGATAGATTGCTTTGGGTAATATGGACATTTTAATGATGTTGATTCTTCCAATCCGTGAACAAGGTATGTGCTTCCACTTTTTTATATCTTTCTCTATTTCTTTTTTCAATGACCTGTAGTTTTCTGCGAATAGGTCTTTTATTTTTTTGATTAAGTTTATTCCTAAGTCTCTTAATTATTTAGCTGCGATAGTAAATGGGCTTGTTTTTTTTAGTTTTTCTTTCTGTGAGTTCATCATTGGTGTATACAAATGCCATCGATTTTGTGACATTAATTTTGTATCCTGCTACTTTTCCAAATTCATTTGTTTAGTCTAGTAAATTTTTGATGGAGTCTTTGGGGTTTTCTACGTATAGTATCATGTCATCTGTGAATAATGACAATTTCACTTTCTCCTTTTCCATTTGGATGTCTTATTTTTTTCCTCCTGTCTGATTGCTGTGGCTAAGACTTCCAGTACTATGTTAAATAAGAGTGGCAAAAGTGGGCATCCTTGCCTTGTTCTTGTTCTTAAGGGAAATGATTTTTGCCCATTAAGTATGATGTTGACTGTAGGTTTTTCATATATGGCTTTTATTATGTTGAGATATGATACCTCTATTCTCAGATTGCTGAGCGTTTTTATCAGAAATGGGTGCTGGATTTTGTCGAATGCTTTTTCAGTGTTTATTGTCATGATTATGTGATTTTTATCTTTCATTTTATTTATGTGGTGTATCACATTTATTGATTTGTGAATACTGTACCAACCTTGCATTCCTGGGATGAATCCCACTTAGTCATGGTGAATAATTTTTTTTATGTATTGCTGGATTTGATTTCCTAGTGTTTTGACCAGGATTTTGGCATCTATGTTCATCAGGAATATTGGTTTGTAGTTTTCTTTCTTTGTAGTGTCTTTTTCGGGTTTTGGAATTAGAATTATGCTGGCCTCATAAAACGAGTTTATTTTTTATTTTTTTTTATGAATTTTTATTTATTTTTTTGTTACAGACATTTTACCTTTTTACCCCATTGGCACCCCCCACCCCACCCCCCCTCCACCCTGTCCCCTGCTTAGTTGTCCATGTCCATTGGTCATGCATACATGCATATAAGTTCTGTGGTTTATCTCTTCCCACCCCCCAACCCCTCCCACCCCCTCTTCTGAGGGATGTCAGTCTGTGCCCTATTTCCATGTGTCTGGGTCTACTGTATTCCTCAGACTGTTATGTTCATTATATTCCGTATATAAGTTAGATCATGTGGTATTTGTCTTTTTCTGCTTGGCTTCTTTCACTTAGGATAATACTTTCCAGGTCCCTCCATGTTGTCTCAAAGGATAAGAGATCTTTCTTTCTTACCGCTGCATAGTACTCCATTGTGTATATGTACCACAGCTTTTTTATCCATTCCTCTACGGGTGGACACTTGGGCTGTTTCCAGATTTTAGCTATTGTAAATAGTGCTGCTATGAACATGGGGGTACATATATTCTTCCTGATTGGTGTTTCAGGCTTCTTAGGGTATATTCCCAGCAGTGGGATCACTGGGTCAAATGGAAGTTCAATTTTTAATTTTTTGAGGTAGCACCATATTGTTTTCCATAGGGGCTGCACCAGTCTGCATTCCCACCAGCAGTGTATTAGAGTCCCCTTTTCTCCACACCCTCGCCAACACTTGTTGTTTGATGATTTGTTGATGGCGGCCATTCTGACAGGTGTGAGGTGATACCTCATTGTTGTTTTAATTTGCATCTCTCTGATGATTAGTGATGTTGAGCATTTCTTCATATGTCTCTTGGCCATTTGTATGTCCTGTTTGGAGAGGTGTCTATTCAGCTCCTCTGCCCATTTTTTAATTGGGTTCTTTGTCTTCCTTTTGGGGAGTTGTATGAGCACTCTATATATATTGGAAATTAACCCCTTATCTGATACATCATTGGCAATGATGTTCTCCCATACAGTGGGTTGCCTTTCCATTTTGATGATTGTTTCTTTTGCTGTGCAGAAGCTTTTGAGTTTGATGTAGTCCCATGTGTTCATTTTCTCCTTTATTTCTGTTGCCTTAGGTGATGTATCAGTGAAAATTCTGCTCCGTATGATGTCTGAAATTTTGTTGCCTACATTTTCTTCTAGAATTTTTATGGATTCACGGGTCACATTTAAGTCTTTTATCCATTTTGAGTTTATTTTGGTGTATGGTGTAAGTTGGTGGTCTAGTTTCATTTTTTTGCATGTAGCTGTCCAATTTTCCCAACACCATTTATTAAAGAGGCTGTCTTTACTCCACTGTATGCTCTTGCCACCTTTGTCAAATATTAATTGAGCGTATTGCCTTGGGTCCATTTCTGGGTTTTCAGTTCTGTTCCACTGGTCTATATGCCTGTTCTTGTGCCAGTACCAGGCTGTTTTGGTTACAGT